AAATACTACTACTATTACTAATAATGATAATGATAATGATAATTATAATAATAATAATAATAATAATAATAATAATAATAATAATAATAATAATAATAATAACAATAATAATAATTAATAATGTTAATAAAAGATAATAATGATAATGATGATAATGATAATGATAATATTGATAGCAGTAATAATAATAATAATAACTGTAATAATAATCATCATTAAGACAAAAATAGCAATGATAATAATAATAAGATTATAATAAAAACAATAATAATAACAATAGTAGTGGTAGTAGTAGGAAAATAATAATAATAATAATAATAATAATAATGATAATGATGATGATGATAATAATAGTATTAATAATAATGATAATAATAATGATAATGATAATAATAACAATAATAATGATAATAATAATAATAATAATAATATCAATAATAGTAATTATACGACTACTACTACTAATAATAATGATAATGTAAACAATACTGTTGTAGACAAACAGATAGACTAGCAAGATAACCGAAGTCTTCAGTTTCCTTAAAGTGTACGAGGTTATATATATGTGTGTGTGTTACTCTCTCTCTCTCTCTCTCTCTCTCTCTCTCTCTCTCTCTCTCTCTCTCTCTCTCTCTCTCTCTCTCTCTCTCTCTCTCTCTCTCTCTCTCTCTCTCTCTCTCTCTCTCTCTCTCGCAAGCGCTTGTCGATAATGACTACAACTAATCTAAACTTGATCAAACTTTCGGATTATGATTCAAATACTTGATCGAACTTTTCTCATGAGGCGAGTGAAGACCAGATAGTTGATGGCCATAACTCCGGAGGTCATAATTGAGAGACACACTTTGTTATTTTTATGAGCACATATTAAGCTTTTTTTTACTCTTTGTTGTTAATATTTGTATGATTATGTTTCCTTTTTTCACCTTTTCTTTAGTTTATTTTTGATGTTTATTTATTCATTATTTTTTGTTGTTGTTGTTGTTGTTAAATTAGTTGCTTTTATAATTTTTTTGTTAATTTTATAAGCTACTTTCAAACGCATCGATTTTTGGCCGTGGTCGACGCGTGTAAAAAGCCTCACCGAAATCAAAGGCTGTATCTGAAAGCACGGCGTCCCAACAGCCACGTGGAAGGCAAGAAATCGATATGTCGGAAACAGGCCGTGGAACCTTCTGATAAACGCCATACATGGTTGGAAAGGAAGCCATGGTGAACACAATGATTAGGCCGTTATTTGCCGTGTACGATGCGTGTGAAAGTGCTGTGACTGATGCCAGTGTAGGTTGAAAGCACGGTGTTCGTCGTGCGAAAAGTGGGTGCGTTGAGAGGCTTGTAATGTATCTCCAGATTAGCAGTTTCCTCTTTAGATAGGTTTAACAGTTAGGCCTGTCTGTATGTATACATTTGTATACGGTTTACGCACACACACATACCTATACGCGTGAATGTATATGTGTGTGTGTGTGTGTGTGTGTGTGTATGTATATATGTGTGTGCATGTGTGTGTGTATATGTCTGGCTACGTGTGTGTGTGTGTGTGTGTGTGTGTGTGTGTGTGTGTGTGTGTGTGTGTGTGTGTGTGTGTGTGTGTGTGTGTGTGTGTGAGGAAGAGAGAGAGAGAGAGAGAAGCAGTTATGTACAAAATATAAACAAGGAATAGGAGGAGATTGAGGAGGACAAAACTAGTTCATGAAAAGTAAGCAGTTGAATCCTGCGGTAAAGTCCTTGTTTTCTTTAATCTAAATTTGCATCGTTGACAAAAAAAAGAACTATAGAAACACCAGATCGATTTTTGAAACGTTGAATATGGCAATCATAAAGTAATACGGATCACTTTATTGCATGGGTTTACCTGAGAATATAATGTATTGCCCATACCTCCACTCCTTAAAAAAAAAAAAAAAAAAAAAAAAAAAAAAAAAAAAAAAAAAAAAAAATATATATATATATATATATATATATATATATATATATATATATATATACATATATATATATATATATATATATACAAATAAATAAAAATCAAATTGACAAATAATTCACCATATCGTCTAAAATTCCGATAGCAGAAATTCTCTCTTAACCCTCTGTCTTTCTCTCCCAATTCCCTTTTCCTTTTCCTTTTCTCCTCATTTCCCTTTTCTCTGTGTCTCTTTGGTGTGTCTTAGAGGGGAGACTACTCTAGCGTTTGTTTTTGTTTTTTTTAGGTGGGAGATTTTATTCCTTAAGGAAATCAATTGACTTTTCTATTTCTTTTTTTTTTATGTAGGTATTAGGCTTATTGCTTATTTTGTTGTCTATCTGAGTTATCTATTTGTATATTAAATTATAGAGCGTGATGGTCCAAGAAAATGAAGAAAGGAATTGAAGGTCTGTTATTGCTGTTCGAAATGGATCTGCCTTCCTTTGTTTTTGTTTTTGATATAGTTTCTATATCATCTACCCGTTTATTCCTCTGACTGATATGTCAAATCACTCACCAAGACATCATGTCCAATCAAATCAATATATATATATATATATATATATATATATATATATATATATATATATATATTTATATTTATATATATATATATATATATATATATATATATATATATATATATATATATATATATATATATATATATATATATAATCAGAGATTATATGATACACAACACAACCACTTAACAAACACCATAAATAAACAACTTCATTGGTTAATAAAAAAAAAAATCCATTCGACATCCACTCACATATCACTTAACAGACACACGCTAACTTCATCTTACTTTCCCCCTCTTCTAAGAATTAAAAAGTAAAAATATCTTGTATTAACCAAGCGACCCCACTCCCACAGAACGCCATGTATTCTACAATTCTCTTTCAGTCGCCTCCACCCCTGCTTTGGTGGCGCCTGAAAAATTCATAGCAGGAGCTTTTAGGGAGATGCCGGAGAGAGAGAGAAGGGAAGGTTGGCTCAGCGAGAGAAGTTAACATGCTTTTCAGGACAGCGTTATCATAGGGTTGTGTTGGACGCCGGGAAAGCAAATACGCGGGTCGATACTTAGTAACGAGATGTCTTCATACTGCACACACACACACACACACACACACACACACACACACACACACACACACACACACACACACACACACACACACACACACACACATATATATATATATATATATATATATATATATATATATATATATATATATATATATATATATATGCAAATGTGGAAAATGTTGGAATGAGAATGAATATCTTCGCAATATCAGATTTGATCTTCGTCAGAAATACATATATTTCTTACGAAGGTATATATATATATATATATATATATATATATATATATATATATATATATATATATATATATATACATATATGTGTGTGTGTGTGTGTGTGTGTGTGTGTGTGTGTGTGTGTGTGTGTGTGTGTGTGTGTGTGTGTGTGTGTGTGTGTGCGTACGTGGCAATACCAGCGGTTATTCTAAATCAAGCAAAGCATATTAAATGAAAGGTACCCATTCGTTCAGATTTCATGGCATGTGAATTTGTCAAGATTATTCGTGAGTTGTTTTATGATATATATCTTTTTCATAAAAAAAATGGCGTGCATATATGCTATTTCCTTTTGTTCTAAGAAAAAATGTATGGTTTAGACATACAGTCCAGTACGTAGTACACTACAAGTAATTAATATACACCTTATGTAACAACATGATAAACTTATGTTTATGTTATGATACATCCAATTACTCTGATGATCTGAATAAGTGACAATGACAAATATTCCATACATAGTAAGTGAGAGACGTAACGGTAGTTTTAGATTATTTTTTAAAATTTAATTATGATCTCTCTCTCTCTCTCTCTCTCTCTCTATCTATCTATCTATCTATCTATTTATCTATCTATCTCTCTTTCTCTCTCTCTCTCTCTCTCTCTCTTCTTATCATCATTATTATCCATATTTCTCCTTCTTTATCGCCAAATTATTACAAGCCATCATTCATATAGACTCGATTCTTTTGTTATTATTATCAATAATTATTAATTTACTTATCTATCATTATTACTATATGTTTTTTCTTTAACTGAGACCTTCCCCATAAGAATTCATATCCACAGTAGGATCTGTTTTCTGTGGATGTAAGATTATTATAGCGAATTACACTACCACTCCTAAGAGTTGTTATCATTTGATTATTGTTATTGTTTTTTATTGTTATTATTATGATCATTATTATGATAATATTGTTATTCTTCTTATCATCATTGTTGTCCTCATTATCATTACAGTCATCCGCAATTTCATTATTACCAAGATTACCATTATATTACTGTGATATTCAATATTCCCCTCATATTGGACCTGGAAAACACTTTGACCTCATGATCTTGCTAACCCCATGCCCCCTACCCCCCAAGACAAGAATTTTTAACTTATTCTACTAAACTACACCTATGTAGATCCACTTACAGCTTAGAAATACCCCAAGACAATTTTTTTTTTTATTCGCTTTCCTCGCCTTCCCCCCTTCGCCCCCTTCCCAAAGGAAAAGCTGAGGTGACCCCTGACCTTTGACCTCGAAAAGGGAACGCTGGGTCACACCTTTTTTATCTTTTCTTATTTATTAGCAGGCTCGACTATAATTACCTGTGAGAAAAGCCCACCGAATAAGAAAAAAATCGTGACATTTTCCTTTCAGATACATTTTTCGGCACCCAGAAGAGAGAGAGAAGAAAATAAAACTGTTATTTACTTCTATCTCCTGCATTACACATTTTGGCTTTATCGACATAGACAATACCCACAGAATAACCGCAGAATTCATTAACTTAAAACCTATGATATGGTTATCATAGCCACATAATTCATAAACTTGCCCTGTAAATATTCTTATTATCTTTTAAGTACACCGAGAAATTACCATAGTTCTCCCTCTTTATCTCCAAACTTCCCACTTTCTACGAAGAACTCCCGAGGCATAGAAAACGGAAGTAAACAAACAACTTATTCGGCTTCTCAGTTTTTCTTCTTCAGTTTTTTTTTCTCCCATTTTTCTTCCTCAAAAGACACATTTAAGTGGGTTTTCTACGCCAGAAACGTCTAGAAGGTGAGGCTCGAGAGTTAGCTTTAGTTTCTGCGAGTTAGAATGTCGTTTTGAGCGTAAATATTGGCGATAAATAGTTTTTTTTCTTCAAGGGTTTGTTTCTGGGGTCAATATGTAAATAAAGCAAGAAAGTAATAAATAATGATAATAAAATAATTAAGCAATAAAGCCTACACGAAATGATAGAGCAATACAAACCAAGACAAAGTTCTTCTATGGCACTATGTGTGCAAATGCTTCCCAAGGCTGCTATACGTGACAGAAAAGAGAAGAGGGGGGAATTATAGGCCTATATACTACCACAGGGGGTCCAGGGGGCAGAGTCCCTGGCTGGCTAGGCCTATATACTACCACTGGGGGTCTAGGGAATAAATACCATGGTGTTCGGTTTGGTAGGATGTTGGGTTAGGACGTTTTTTTTTGTTTAACCACCACTAGGGTCCTGTTTTACTTCATAATTTCCCTGGTATACTTCATGCACTCCCCTGCTATTGATGATTGGATTGAATAAACACAGACAAACACAAAAGGCATAACCAACTGCAACAATTTTGGCAGCGGATGGATTCCTCTCCTCAGCTTGGGCTCGAGTGGGGGGGGAATCCTGCCGCAGAGGCCCCCAGACCCTGGCGTTCATGGCCCCGGTAACTGGGGGGGAGGGCATGGTGGGTACCGGGGAAATTGCGGGGGGAATGGTGAATGATATGCGTAGAACATGTCACTATAATAACGTAAACAGAATGAGTCGCTTTATTGTCTAATGCAGGTGACTCTGCCCTCTGTGATGCCCTCTTGAAGGGCTGATGCCCCCCGACCCTCTATGTGTTCAGGATCGACATGCAGCTCCTCCCCCCTCCCCCCAAACAACCTAGTCTGTCCTACACTCTATCGCGCTGTACGTACGAGGTGGATTCTTTGCTCAGGGAAGGGGATTGTGGGTAGCAGTCCCTCCAGGAGGTTTGACCAATTCTCTATATGTTATTAAAAATGTATCCCATAATTTCCCCGGTCAAGATTATGAGTATTAGGGGCATGCTTTCAGTATGTTTGCAAAGGAGAGAGTGAGAGGAATCCGTCAATGCGTATATCGTTGTGATCAGTCATGTGAAGGTATTTTGAATATTTACTACTTCAGTTATAGAGGCATAAAAAGAAAAAAATACTTGTTGAGAAAACTTAGCTATGTGCTGTCGTGGTATATTGTCTTTTAAAATCTATTTCTATAAATATTTGTTTGATTGTAGATATCCTGTACATTTCTTTTGAAATGGAAGAAATGTGGAGATATGTACAGTTATATTTGAAACATGAATATAGTTGTAAAACCACAAACAAATTATTTTTAAAAATCTGTTACTTGCCTTGTATACAAGTATAATAACAGTGTAAGGAATAGGAGTAGTAGTGGTTGTTAAAGTGGCTGTAGATTTCAATTTTCTTTGCTGTTGTTGACATCAATCAAGCCCTTTAACAACAAATCAGTTTAAGGAGGTATTTTGCATTTTATTATAGGCTACTATATGAGACGAGAACAGGGAATTCAGCTAGATTATTACTGATTAAACAATTTGCATACATTAGTAACCCGAAACCTTCTCTTGCAGTTTAGAGGTCTAGAGAGCTACTGAAAAAAAAAGAAAACAGTTGTCATTCTGATATTTAAGTTTGAAAGTAATCTTGTCTGATAAGCACTGACTATGAATTTAGCTGTATTTGATGTAAAAAAAAATCTATTTCTAAATAATTGGGGGAGAGAATTAGAGGAATTGAATGAGGCAAGGAAAGTAGAGAGAGCAAGATAGAGAGAGAGAAAGAGAGAGAGAGAGAGAAAGAGAGAGAGAGAGAAAGAGAGAGAGAGAGAAAGAGAGAGAGAGAGAAATAAATAAATAAAGAAGAAAGAGAGAAAGAGGGAAATGATGAAGAGAGAGAGAAAGAGGGAAATAAAGAAGAGAGAGAGAAAGAGGGAAATAAAGAAGAGAGAGAGAAAGAGGGAAATGATGAAGAGAGAGAGAAAGAGGGAAATCAAGAAGAGAGAGAGAAAGAGGGAAATCAAGAAGAGAGAGAGAAAGAGGGAAATCAAGAAGAGAGAGAGAAAGAGGGAAATCAAGAAGAGAGAGAGAGAGAAGTAAAGAAGAGGGAGAGAGAAAGAGGGAAATAAAGAATAGAGAGAGAGAAAGAGGGAAATAAAGAAGAGAGAGAGAGAGAAAGAGGGAAATAAAGAAGGGAGAGAGAAAGAAATGGAAGGATAGAAAGAGAGAGAGAGAGAGAGAGAGAGAGAGAGAGAGAGAGAGAGAGAGAGAGAGAGAGAGAGAGAGAGAGAGAGAGAGAGAGAGAGAGAGATTAAGGAGAGAAAGATGAGAAAGGGAGGGAAGGAGAGGGA